CCAGGACAGCTTTAAAGTTTAAACTTGTTATGAATTCAGCAGAAAACATTGACATGGCTATGCAGGTGAACTTTCAAATCAAATTCTTTTACTCCATTTTCTACTGCCAAGCTTATCCATTTATCAAACAAGACAATATGAAGATTTTTTAGCAGGAGTAAGATCTAGGGTTAGCCTAAATTTCTGCATAGATAAATTATGCTCGCAGAACCTTCGGAATAATGAATATCAAATTCGAAGACGGGGTACATAAATCTTTTCATCTCTTTGACAGCATAATGGTTTGAGCTACCTCTTTCAAAGAGTGGTAAGACACGATTTGATGAATGAGAAAGCATAACTGCACCAGGACAAAAAAGCAAAACTTGGATAAAACTATGATTGGCAATGTAAGAGTTATAAACAAAGGAAGTAAAATAGTGACGAGAAAGTTTGAACTGATTGGCTTACTTACTGTTTGTATTTCATTTCATTGTATTTATAGCAGATTACATATAACAAACTACAGAAAAGTAAGGAGTTCAAAATACATTTTACAGCTAACTTTATCCTATTGTTTGAATCAAAACAGAATGAGGAAAGTCTGGAGATGTATCGTTTGCTGCACCACTTCTGATCTGATCTGATGTTTTCTCCCTTGATTCTCTTAACTGCTCTTCAGCTACAGCACAATTGCTTGATTGATCTGAGTTCCTTGATTCTCTCAACTGATCATCAAATGCTCTAACACCCCCCGACAAACTCATGGGAAGTTGGCGAATCATGAGTTTGGTCCTTAAAAACTGGAATCGAGTTGCTGTTTGGCCCTTTGTAAACACGTCGGCTATTTGATCTTTGGTGGAGATATGCTTCACCAAAATATCTTTGTTAACCACTTTTTCTCTAATGAAATGATAGTCAATTTCCACGTGTTTTGTCCGAGCATGAAAGACGGGATTTGAAGCTAAGGCCAATGCTCCTATGTTGTCACACCAGATAATTGGAGGTGAGGAAAGATATAACTGGAACTCTTTTATCAACATTCGGATCCAATAAGCTTCAGCTGTGGCCAAAGCCATGCTTCGGTATTCCGCTTCTATGCTTGAACGCGAGACAACTCCTTGTTTCTTGGCACACTAGGATATTAAATTTTTCCAGAGAAAAATACTAAACCACTTGTGCTTCTCCTGTCATCTGGGTTACCAGCCCAATCCGAGTCACAATAAACATTAATATCAATTGTTGAAGGTGAATAAAAAAGTCCATAGTCCACCGTTCCTTTTAAATATCGAAGCACCCTTTTTGCCGCTATCCAATGTGAGTCTCTCGGGTTATGCATAAATTGGCATAACTGATTTACTGCATATGAAATATCAAGATGTGTAATGGTGCAATATTGGAGAGCTCCCACTACGCGCCTATATTCTGTTGGATCTGATAGGAGTGTGCCAGCATTAGAAGATAATTTCATACCTGAAGTAGTCGGACAAGCTAGTGGCTTTGCTCCTTGCATTTTGGTGCTTTTAAGAAGGTCAGATATATATTTAGCTTGCCGAAGATGAAGACCTTCATTGCTACGTTTTGCTTCAACACCAAGGAAATAACTTAGTTGTCCAAGATCTCTAATATGGAAATTTTCCTTCAAGCTGTCAATGAAAGATGTAATAGCCGAACTGCTGGATCCAGTTATGATAATGTCATCTACGTAGACCAAAACAAAAAGTTTGAATGTATTAGTACAAAGAGTAAACAATGAATAATCAACTTTTGATTCCTCAAATCCAAGTTCTAGCAATTGTTCAGAGAGCCTTCGAAACCAAGCTCCTTGGGGCTTGTTTAAGGCCATAAAGAGATTTATATAGTCGACACATGAAATCTGGTTGGCTTTCATCAATGAAGCCTTGAGGTTGTTCCATATACACTTCTTCATCAAGAATGCCATGTAAGAATGCATTGGACACATCATTCTCTTATTTCCTTGTATTTTAGACCCTCATGGCTGTTATATACAAATGTCTTCATCTAGTTCTCCATGAAGGAACGCCGTCTTTACATATAACTGCTCAAGATAAAGGTCTTCTTATTATACTAACCCAAGTACTATTTTTATTGTAGTTAACTTGACAACTGGAGAGAAAATTTCAAATGTAGTCAATGCTTTCTTTCTGCTAAAATCCTTTCACAACTATCTTACTTTGTATCATTTGCTTGCTACCATCATGTTCATCTTTCACCCAATAAACTCACTTGTTTTGCAATGCTTTATGTAAGTATTTTTGTCAAATGATGAATTCAGTGTGGTAACACTGATTTTTGATATCATGACATCACTTTGTTAATGCACAGTCGTTTTATGTTTTTCTAGTGTCATCACACTCATTGTCTGTGTGATGACACATGTCCAGCTAGATATTTATATATACATGTTACGTCTTCATTTGATGTTAGGATTTTATTTTTATATGAGACATGTGCAAGTGGTCCTAATACACTTGCAATGAGCTCATTAGGTGGATCAGAATATTCTTTTTGCTTTATTGTGGTCCTGGTACACTTAAATCTTTAGTGTTAGTGGCTCCACTTGCTTCTCCCTTTTTCTACCTCCAAAACTCCATCACATGATCACCTACCCCCATTGACCTAATTAGTCTTCATTCCTTTATATTTTGTGCTCAAAATTAGGTAGCCATGATCATTTATTTGAAAATAACAACAATACACATTTATTTTCCTGTTATTAGTTTCTGAATTTGCTGTAATATACGTATCTCTCTAAGTTTTATTTATCCACCAAAACAATTTAGACTGCTGATCATCTTTAGAACCAAATGAAACCTTTTACTTGTGTCAGAGAAATAAGGCAGAAACCTTTGTCAAGTGTCAAGCAGAGGAATCAAATATTGCGGTTCTATGCAACCTCTCCGATGCTAGCTGCTGTTATATACACGGATTCCATCAATCAGGTTTGTTCATGATTTCAGGTTTGATGAAATTCACTTCATTCTTCATCAATAAAATTACGGCTATTATAGACGACGACTGAAAACAGTTTGAGCTACAAGTAGGGGTGTAAAAAAAATACTCAAAAAGCTGAAACAGACCAAGCCGACCTGTGCGTTTAGGTTCGGTTTGAAGAAGATTTTCGAGTTAATTGAGTCTAAAAATTCTATTCTGAATTATTTTCTTGGCCAGAAACAATTGAAGTTTGTGATATCCAGGCAGTTTATGTATACCTTAATTAATTCTTGGATTTTATTTATCATCCTACAAAATCAATAAATCAGATAAATTACAAATATAATAAATGATCATTTAGTAAAACTTAAACACAAAACCTTTTAGTAATATTAGATCTTGTTATCCAACTACAAACAAAGTGATATCGGTGGCTGATATGTAGAACATGAAAAAGTAACAATACACTTGAGATAATTCCAGTAAATGGTTGATATTTTTTCTATATTATTATATTAAAAAAAAAAAATTGTCGGTGGATAGTGAATTGTGGCCGTGTGGGACAGTATGAGAACGACCGAACGGTGACCATTTCTCTCCATTATTGCCATACTGGAGTGCGTTTGTGTGGGATCCATTAACCGACTCTTTGCATTTAATAACTATTCAGGGAAAGCTGTAAGAGATTACCTTGTATTTTGATACTTTCTGTTAATATATATTAAAAACACGAGCTAATTAATCATTATGCTTTATACATCTCATAATAATTCCATTCTAATTACTTTATATTTTACGACTTATAATTCCTTCGCATTTTAGATTGTTATATTATATATGTAAATTTGTTTATTAGCTTATCGCTACAATTGATCTCGGTTGTGACAATGATTTATAGGTGATATAAATAAGGGTGCTAAAAAAAATGTAAAAATCGAACCGAATTGGTTTTTTGGTTATTTGAAAAACTAGTTTGGTTTAAGTTTAAAGAAATACGCAAACCTGAATTTCTGGTTCAATTACCAGTTTAAAGAATATATAAAATTGATTAATCGGAACCGGTTTTCACTTTAAAATTAAAAAACTCTTAATCTTCAAATATATTTCTCTTTACTCTTCACCCTTTACGCATTTCTCCCTTCTTTTTTTTACACACAAACACAAATTTTAGAATTTAGTGTGTGATTCAAACCAAGTAAGGTGGGGAACATATTCATATGGAAGTTGAAAAAAAAAAAAAATTAAACAAAAATAAAAACTAAGTTAAAGGAAAAACTGGTTCAAAACAAGTTAACCGGTTTTTTGGTTAACCGAAAAATTGGTTTTCTTTTTAACTGGTTCGGTTTCGGTTAAGAAATTTTTCTGAACCAAAAAATCGGTTCAGTTCAGGAATCGAAAAACCGATTCAATTCAAAAAAATGGTTAACCAGTTATGAACACCCCTAGATATAAGTATTAAGTAATACTCTCCGATATTTTAAATTTTCTTTTGGATCCATAATCTTTCATAATATCATTACACCATTTTACTTAAATTATTTCTCCTGTTTCACTTTTTAGATTATTTTTCCCGTTACACTTTTCACCTTTCAACTTGTCCACTTTCTTTGTTGTACTCACAAAACATTACCTTTTGCTTTCCTTCTAGTCTCTCTTTCTCTTTCACTTGTCAATACTTGAAAGTTGAAACCCACTTTTCCTCTCAAGTTTTCATTTGCTGAACCCTCCAAGTGTCTGTAATATTTTTCATTTGCCAGACCTTTCTCTATCAAAATAGAAGAATTGTAGGTTTGTGTTTTCTCAACTTCTCCAAAAGCATTATGCTGTTAGTTATATATTGTTATTTATTAAGATGTTTTGGAGGAAATAAAAGTATTTGTATTGGAATGTAATTAGTTTCAAGTTAATTAACAATGTGTTTGGCAGGTTACGAGCATGGATAACCAAAGAAGGATTGATCTTCTGCGGAAGATACGCAAGGTAAAAATCAGAATTTTTGAGTTTTGGTTTCAACTCATTAATTTATTGTTCTTCATCTTACATATATATTTTATTTCAATGATAACAGGGTTTTGAGTTTCTGGTTAAACACCAGAAACCTGCGGTGGTGTTGGTTTTGTTTATGACTGAAGCAATATCCGTTGCGCTCGATCAGCTTGGAAAAAGTAAGTCCAATTGCCTTCTCGCTGCACTTCTCTTGTCGGCCTTTACTTTTCTCATTACTGTTTTTCCTCATATTGTAAAGGGAGGAACCAGTGCAAGAAAATCAAAGGCTGAGAGGGAGCTTCTTGTTGTTGAAATTGTCTTCTCTGTGGTCCAATTGATCGCTTCTTTGGCTCACTATATCATGACACTTTTGGGTGTCAAGTATAATTACAACTCATTGATTTTTCCATTAGCCTTTGCTACAATTGCCGTTGTCTTCCTGTTCCTAAAGAATGAAAGGGTTGCCGATTCCTCTCATGACCAAACACAAAATATTTCATCACAAGAAAGTTCACATTCTATAAATATTCCTTCATCAACTGATTTTGCACCGAGCAGTGATCCTAATCATGAGAATCAACTAGTAAACTTCAGATCCAGGTCTATGCAGCGTAATCAATCAAAGAACATCGTCGAGGTATGGATGTGAATTTTTTTTTTTTTTTTTTTTTTTTTTAATGTTGGCTTTGTTATTTTTTAGTTTAGATATATGTTATGCTTTAATTTTTTTGTCTTTATACCTAGAACCTAGAGCTGGGAATTGATCTTCAATAGCCAACAATTAAAATGAGATCAAATGAAGATTTTGTTAGCTGGGGGAAGATCTGCAGTTATGTGATAGATCAGAGAAGATTTCTGCATGAAGAATGTAGCAAGAACCAAGAAGGTATATTATAATGAGGACTTGGATCTACGCAATGTAAGACTTGATGTGGCCACATGCCACAATTATGCAGTTCAAGGTGGTTTAAAGAAGTTATTAACTATCTCTTTTTATCTTTGATTGAAGGTTAAAGACAGTTAATGGGAGTTACTTGGTCTCTAATCTAGTCATATATAAAGATATCATCTTCTCCATCAAAGAGATATCACAAAAAAAAAATATGAAAAAGGTTCTGGAGGCATAAGCTAGAAGACATCTCTCAAACACTCATTCACAAATCATTCACGTTTTAGCTTTCTACAACACTTGAACAATATGGTTGGAGGTAAGTGATTAAATTCCGCATTATATTACATATGTAATATTCCACACGCAATAGAAGTGAAGAAGGGTTAAAACTTAAGATATGGCTGCTTGCTTTTTTTTTTTTTTTCCAAGTTTATGATATGCAGTTGCTTCTGTAAAGTAATCCTATTAATTTCTCTCTGTTCTAACACTTGATGCCAGCTTGTGCAGGTTGCAACAGTTTGATAAGAGTACATATTATCTTTTTTCCAGGTTCATATGCTGGACAGTGGAGCTCGTGAGTCTATTGATTTGTCAAATTTTACCGGCTATGGAGATCTTTATAAGAAACTGGCAGAAATTTTTAACACAGAGGAAGAGCTCCTTGCATCGGGAAGTTTCTACATGGATGACTCATTAAACATCGAAGCGCTTGAAAAGAAGCCATGGGAGTAAGTACAATTATTGATGTTCTTGACATGGTGATAAGGTTTTGGATATTACGTTCTTGATGTTCTGAAATTTTAATTTTTTGATTGCAGTGACCTCTGCTTGGTTCCTAGTAAAATCATCATCGTCTACCAAAAACAAAAGCAGGAGTTCAACAATGAGGAGATTGTGAGAAATGAAGATCTCTCTCAAGAGTCTGGAGAATCTAGAGAAGAGTTCAATTCACAGAATATACTAAATGAAGAAGTTAGAGAATGTGAAGAGGATTTTGATTCACAGAATAGAGTAAACGAAGAAGGGTAAGATCAAACTTCCCTCATATATCATGCTTTTTATAGTTATATTCTGATTGTGTAATTGTGGAGTCAATAGGCTCCAACATTTTCTAAACTTAATGTAATCTTCTATGCATGTCTCTGTTTTCCAAAGCGAAATATATTTTTATGTCCCTTGCTTATTTTTGAGCATATTTGCAGCAAACACAAGCAGCTTTCGCTGAGTGTTCTCGCCACAGTGATTAGTTCGACCCTTCATCGTGCTTCAAAATTCTCTGAAATGTTTTGGCACGCTAGCTCTCCAGTTATCTCATGCATATCATAGTCAACACCAATGATCTTCTACTTGTGGAGTCGTCTTTGGATAGTATTATATATGGCACTTCTTGTGGAGGTCTTGCTTCTCATCATGTGGAGCTAGTGGCTCGAGAGATTGTTGATCCTCTTCACAGCAAAAGGCTTCGATGCACAGTTCAAATCCAACAGGAGATTTATAGGCTATAGCAACAAATGCTTCCATAATATCTACAAAGAAGGTAAACACAACGGTTTCATTTGTTATGTTACTACCAGTTTACCAAATAGTTTAAAATAGGGAGAACGATTCTCCCACCCAAGGTTTGGTGAAATGACACTTTCCCACCTGTCAAGTTTTAAAATGACACTTTTCCACCCTCCGTCAAGTTTCGTTAGGATTTTTCGTTCTGAAAAAGGGTAATACGGTCATTTCAATCCAGCCACAAAAATCAAAAATAAAAAATTGAAATTTCGATGAGTGTCGCCTGAATGGTTATTGGTCTTGCGATCAACACATCTCCACCCCTGCTCATCATAGATATACCATATCAGCTTCTTTTTCATCTTTTGTTTGACCTACTTTTTAATAAACTACAGCACCACTTTGACATGGGTATTTCCGCCCATCGACACCCACTCTCAACTCTCTAACCTTGTTGCAAAACCTTACAAAATTTCACCAAGGTATGTCTATGTCAACTTATATTTATCTACACTACACATATAGATTTTCCCTTTCCATTTCCTCTCTTTTAACAAGTGTGTTTACTTCAACTGTCGTTGCTTTTGTTTTTTGGGTTGGAAATGGTGGTGAAGATCTGAATTCATCAGAAGCTTAGTTGGGTCTTCAATATTCTTGTTGAATTTGGAGTTAAAGATGATGGGTAGTTTCAAATTTAGAGGAAATGCATTGTTAGGTTATATAAGACCATCTCCAACCTATTGCACCAATTTGGTGCAAAACACTATTTCATCTCCAACTCATAACACCAAATATTGCACCAAAAAGAATATTCCTTATAATATTCTTTAGAATATTCTTTTTTTTTTCTTTTATTGTAATAATCAACAATTAATCTATTTCACTTATTATTTTTATATATATTAATTAAATATTAGGAATAATATTTTTATTAAATAATAATTATTTTGAAAATTATACTAATTTAATAGAATTAAGCATTTATTTAATCAAATAAACATACAATTTAATATAGAAAAAAATTAATCTAATATAAATGATACCAAAAAAAAAAAAAAAAAAAAAAACAACAACAACACAATGGTAAAATTTCATATTGATAGTAATAATTTTCCAAATTAATATGTTCTTCCCATAAATGATCAATTAATGCATTTCGAAGAGATTTGTGGTTATTCAAAAAGATGTGTTGTCCATTCAAGCTTTGAGATTTATGGTTATTCAAAAAGATGTGTTGTCCATTCAAGCTTTGAGCTTTGTGGCTTATTCAAAAAGATGTGTTGTCTATTCAAGAAGAAAATCGACAGCTCGCTGCTATTTTCAATCAGGGCAACTACGCTAGGACACAAAATTATGAAATCCAAATGAAAAAATTGGCTTTGCCGAATATCGAGAAGATAACAAAATTTTATTCAGGATTTGAATTCTATAATCGATCCAAGCCTACGTGAGTTTTTCAAAAGAGCAATTAAGAATTATGCAAAAAAGAGCTCAACAACAGGTCAAGGATCTCAAAAAACTCAAGTCTTTTCAATATTTTGATGATCTTACTAGATCCGGAACTAATCTACCGGAATACTAAATTGTTATTTTAGTTTATGTTGTATTTTCTTTTAATTTTAGTGTTTTTAATTAGTGTTAATTTATTTTGAGTTATTGTAGTTTAATATTTGCATTGAATAAAATTCTATTTTTAATTTTTCATCATTTTTTAAATTATATCATTATTATAAATAATAATTAAATTAAATTAAATACAAATACTCAAATTTGGTGTAAAATTTAATACTCAAATTAACTTAACAAAATTTAAAAAAAAAAAACAAAAAAACCAAAATTAAAAAAATATATATTTGCTACAGTGCTGCACCAATTTGGTGCAGCACTGTAGCACTACGCCAAAAGGCATAGTGTTTGGCGTGGGTTGGAGTACCAACCCACGCCAATTTGGTGTTTTTTGCGCCATTTTGACGTGGGTGGAGATGCCCTAAGGACTACATAGGAAAAAAAAATATCTACTGTTATTTGTAGTAACTGTTCGATGACCCAACTTTGCAAGCTGATGAATTTAGAAACTTTTTGGAGTTTATATTGCTTAAATTATGCATTAAGATGTTGTATCGTTGTATACATTGTTGATTTCACTTCTAATGGTCTCGTTTCTATCTTTATATATTGATATAAGATGATTGAGGTAGTTTTCAATCAATTTTGTTGTCATTAAATTGTGGTAGATGCTCATTGGATTTTCATTTTTGTTTAGCTTGTGTTTTCATGGTATCGAATCTGCTTGAAAAGGTCCTTTTAGATAAGCTTTCTTAATTATGTTTACATTTGCTTGATATTTCAAAATATATGTCAGACAAATAGTTGATGGGTGGGATACTTCCAAAATGAACAAGTTATCGACAGTCGTCTTTTGGATCTAGTTTGCGTTTATGGTGTCATCACAATTATCCACCGCCACCATATGCTCAACCAAGCCAAGATTATGTGTCACAACAACATTATATGCCTCCTCAAAATGACTATGGTTGGGCCCTGAGTCAAAAAGGAAATTGGAGAGAAAATATTCAAAGATAAATGATGATTACAATAGCCTTGAGCATGTTAGATAGTATTCTTTGTTTCTTAGTATATCTAAATTTGTATTTGCTGGATATGAACAATATAGGCTATTTCCATTCTAAGTGCACATAATACTCATTCTGGGAATGTGTTCTAAGGATTCATTTCATTATGGATGATTTTTTACTCTGTAATGCCATTTCTGACTCTAAAGTTATTGACATGAAAAGTCCATTTCACATTTTTTTCCCTTATGTTGTAAAATTGAGGATCTCCATTTGTTATTACTGTTATAATAATCTGTAAGCTTCTTGATGGCATGTATTTAGGAACTGAGATTGCTTTGGAATCTTAGTTGTTGTTAGTGATGTAACAATCAGCAAAGAGTTAGTAGAGCTCTTATTATTGCTATAAGTAAGTATAATTATGATTTGACTCTTATTTGTAAATCAGTAGTTGGTTTCTTTCAGTGGTCAGGCATTAATCTGGCATGTTGTGGTGATGAGTGGTTTTTACATTGTTTTAGAGAGTTAGACTGGTCATTTGAAAATAGTTTGGATACTGGATTTGGTGCTGGGTTGAACATTTGGCTGACACTCAAATAAATGTTCACTACAGCAGGTCGCAATTATGATTTATTATAAGTGGTATTGTTTGTTGCAGCCTTATTTTTTTTATTGCTAAACGTAAAAAAAATTCTAAATCAACATTTCAATTGATTAACTCAAGGTAAAAATAGATAACTTTAATAAAGACTCATTAGTTGGTTAGGACTCATATGGAAGAGTGTATTTCGGTGTTCTGAGAAGTGGGTAGTCTGCAGCCATCAAGAAATTAGATTCCAGTAAGCAACCAGACCTGGATTTACATGCTCAGGTTTGGCTTATTACTATGCATTATCTTCAGTTCTTCTATAGCGTTGCACATGTTTGGCTTATTATTCAATGGTTGTTACATCATGATGGTTTAAGAAAATTGTGATCATGTTTTTATGAGTATTAATTTTATAGTTGTCTTTGATGGTCCACGGTCAAAGATCAAAAATTCTGAGAAATCATCGTCAGGCGCTACAAGCGTGGTGACACACACTCCACAAAAAAAGCGGTTAATTGACGCAGATATTTGTGAGAGGTTTAGCTTTCCAGAAGGCTTAAGATTAACTTCAGCTAGTCAAACACTCTGGGAGGATCTGGAAACCCAAATTAGGATCGCAATGGCGACAGGACAAGGGGAAGTACAGCTGCAGAGGTGTTTAGAAAAGCTAGCAAGAAGGTTAGCTTGGCTGGAAGCTGACAAACTGTTTTATGAGGATGAGGAGTTCAAGGGAATTGCTTTACTCTACGAAGCAGGAATTCAAAAACTTGAGGTAATGAGAAAATGTCATTCGTTTGACATGTCGACACTCAAACTCGAGAATTTGAATGAATTAATAGTGAAATTGGGAAAAACTGACTTGACGGATGTGGTTCAAGGGTTAGCAGTTTATCCTAATGGAGTTATGGAATTGTTCTTTCCATGGAAAATCTTTAAAAAAGGTTTCTGTAGAGATCTTTTGACTAAAGGATGGATCGATACAATGCAAATTGACGTACAGGAAGCGATGGTGGATCCGAATATGCCAGATGCGGTTAAGCAAACGCTCTGTGTATTGAATCGGAAAGTTGACACTTTCACTTGCATGATTACTTCTTCATTGCAAAAGAGCTATGATGTTCAACCTGTACAGATATGGGAATTTCTTGTAGGAGAACCATGGTACCGAATTATGTTCGATAATGAGGTAAAATTGGGTTCTTATGCATTAGAAAAAATTCAAAAGAAAGAAGAGGAAGATTGGACCAGGTTGCATATTACAAAATTGCTACTGGTTAAATATAAACTGGAGGAGCTTGTGAAAGCAAATGCTACTGTCCAAATCCAACATGGGATAGTGGTAGTTATACCAGACAAGTATGCATTGATCCAAGATACTCTTTTTCAACATAATCAGGCCCAGTTGAGAACACTACTAGAAGGGTTTGATTTAACCCATCTACCGAAGCAGGCCTTAATGAAAGGAACTATTGATCTTCTAAGGTTGGTCTTAGCCCACGACCAGGAAGCCCAAGAAGATGCGACTCTAAAAGATTTTATTGATCTTATAGACGTGGATAACTTCAAGGATTGATAAAAATCTGGAGGATGGAGATTTGGACAACCGGAAACGTCCAACACGTAATACGCTGACGTGTATCCAACAGGCGAAAATAATACGTGGACTGTCAAGATTTTGCCGACAAAATTTAAAGCAGCATTTTTAAAGGCAATCTTGAATATTGTGTCATATGTAATAAGTAACATTTGTAAAATGTAATAAGTTATTTTGTTTTAAA